GGAGAAGTTATTTGAGCAGAGATCTGAAAGAAGTCAAGGAGCAGGCCATGAAGACACCTGAAGTCTATGTATATTCGTGTCAATAAGGTGTGCTTCGTGTAAGCAATATATAGAGGGTTCCTGATTTTTAAAAATCCATTGAACTAATCTGTTTCTTTTAGTTGGGGAATTTAATCCACTAACATTCAATGTTATTATCAATATTTTATGAATTTAGCCCTTTCATTTAGTTGCTGTCTCTCTTGCTCTCTCTTTTTTATAGTTGTTTTGTGTTCCTTTATTTCTATTTATCTCCCTTTTGTTTTCCAGATGTAGTATTCCCTTAAGTATTTCCTGATGAGCTGGCCTACTTGTGGTGAATTCTTTCAGCTTTTATTTATCTGGAAATGGTTTTACTTCTTCTTATTATTTGAAGGATAGTCTTTCTGGGTATAATATTCTTAGCTGAAATAATTTTTCTTTCAGAGTTTTAAATGTCTTCCCATTCTTTCCTTGCCTGCATGCTTCAGTTGAAAGGTCCAATTTTAGTCTAATGAGGTAACCTCTGTAAGTTGGTTTTCCTCTCTTGTCATTTTCAGAAATTTTGTCTTTGTCTTTGATTTTTACCATGTTGGCTATGATATATCTTGCAAAGTATCTTATGTTAAATCTATTAGGTGTTCTTTCTATGTCCTAGGTTTGGATTCCCATATGCCTCTCTCATTATGGAAAGTTTTCAGCTAATATAGCATGAAATAAATTTTCTATGCCTTTACCTGTCTCTTTGCCTTCTTACCTCTTAGGCAGCTATTCAGCCATTTCATGGTGTCTAGGACTTCCTGGATGTTGTCCTTATTTTTAATTATTTTCACATTCTTCTCAGTTGCTTAGATTATGTCAGAAGTTTTGTCTTCAAAGTTGGAGCTTTTGTCTTCTGGGTGGCCTAATCTGCCATTAATACTTTTGAGGGAGGTTTTGATTTCCTACATTGTATTCTTTATTTCCAGAAGTCCTGTTTTATTCTTTTTCAGGGTGTCTAGGTATATACAGAGTTCCTCCTTCAATTCATGGAAAGATTTCCTCCTCTCTTGAAATTGATTGTCTGTTTTCCCTGACATATCAGTTTAGTTACAATAAATATTCTGAATTCTTTTTCTGATGGTTTGATGACTTCTTGTGTCTTATCCATTGTTAGTAAGAAGTTATTGTGTTCCATGGGAGGGGGGGGCATTTCCTGGTTTTCTCTTATTTGAGGCTCCTCTGTAATTTCTAGTTATCTAGTGATAGACCTACTTCTTGCTACTTCTTTGGAGTAGGTTTCTGAAGTTGTGTATTCATGTGCTTGCTTTTGATGTGAATTAGGTCTGTGTTGGTTTCCCTCTTTTGCTGTGGGTGGCAGTGTGATATCCACAGTGGGAGTTTAGGGTTCAGATTCATAGAGAAGAGTTTCTGTCATTTTTCTGCTGTGTTGAATATGAGGAGGGAATTTCTCCAGAGCCTCACAGTCTTCAGATGTTTAGCTCCTACATATCCAAACACATCCTTACATGGCTGAGGGCTAAGTTAGGAAGCTAGAGTATAAGCTGGTATCTGAAATCATGTGCCACACACAGCCCCTCTTCCTACACCCTAGGTTTGGCAGGGGAGCTTGGGTGATGAGGCTGGATGGCCCTGTTTTCCCTTTATTCTTGGACTGGTTAAGGGTAGGGTGGTATCAACACAAGAAAGGTAGCCCTTCCTACCTTCTAACTCTGTGACTGCAGAGTAATGAATAAGAGATTATTAATAGGAAAATTAAAAATGACAAAAACCAATTTTTCAGTCAAGTGAGAAAGTGGACTTTAACTTATAATTTATGAGAAACTTTTATACAGAAGCATAGGACATGAGACATAACTGCAAGCCTGCAGCAATAAAGATTTTAAAAGGATACTTACATAGTAAGGTATTTCACACTCAGTAAGATAGCTAATTGAAAAATTTGAAAATATTTTTTTAAAGTGTTGGTAAGGATGTGGAGAAACTAGACTCCTTGTGCATTGTGGTATAAAATACAAAACTGGGCAACTTCTGTGGAAAACAGTATAACAATTCCTCCAGAAGTTAAAAAGAATCACCATGTAACTCAGCAATTCCACTCCACTGAAAAAAAGTACTCAAAAAAAATACTACAATATCCATAGTTATAGTACTATTCACACTAGCTAAAAGGCAGAAAACACTCAAGTGTACATCACTGGATGAATGGATAAACAAAGTATGACATATAAATACAATAAAATAACCAACCATAAAAAAGGAATGACTTGGGAGCCAGTAGGTGGCATGGTGATTAGAGGCACTGGACTCCCATATGGCTGACTGTGGTTCAAATCCCAGACCTGGTGGCTTGCTTTCTCTCTCTGTCTCTCTCTCTCTCTCTGTCTCTCTCTCTCGTCAAACTGAAAAACAATAATAATAATAATAATAATAATAATAAATGAAGTTAATATTTTTTTAAAAAGGAATGACTTACTGATACATAGTAAAATATGGATAAACTTCAAAAGCATTATGATAAATGAAAGAAGCCAGTTACAAAAGATCACATATGATTCATTTATATGAAATAGTAAAAACAGATAAATCTATAGAAATGAAATCAAATTCATGATTGCCAGGGTCTGGGAGAATGGGGAGTAACTATTCAATGGATATAGAATTTTATTTTGGGGTGATAAAATGTTTTAGAATCAGATAGAGGTTGGTCGCCAACACTGCCAGTATACTAAATGCTACCAAAGTGTTCACTTTAATAGGGTTAAACTTTGTTGCGTGAATTTCATCTAGATCAAAAAAACAAATGTATGTTGTCAGGGTGACAAGAATGGAGAATGTACACACTGGAAATTAGATGTAATAAGAATTGGCAATGGAGGGCCAGCTGGTGGCATGAAGGTTATGGCAGCTGGACCCCACATGCTTGACTCTGTGGTTCAAGTCCTGGACCCATGGGGAACAAGTGCACGTGTGCCTAAAATACCAAGAGGGAGACGGTGGGGAAGGGATTGTTGTGTGGCCATTCCCCCAGGGGTTGATATCTCACTTTCTGTCTGTCTCTCTGGTAAGCACACATATTCTATAGCAAAAACTAAAATAGATAAATAAATGGTGAAGGTATGAGCTAGGCACTACTAGTAGGAATGAAAACTGAGAAGAAGTAATAGATTTGAGAGCTTTTTAGGAGAAAAAGAAATTGAAAGTCGTGTAAGAAAAGACGATGCCTATCTGGAATAAGCAGGTAAAGGGGGACAAGATTTCGGAGCAAAGATGGTCATTCCCCTACTGAGCAGGCTACATTTAGGGAATTTCTGAAAGCATTATGGAATATAGGCCTCTACTAAACAGACTGGGAGGGGCTGCAGGTGAAAACTGGAGAGTTCAGAATATACCATAAAAGTAAATGAGATAAAGGTACATGGAAAAAAAGTCATATGATGTAGTTTAAAAAAAAATCATCATTGTTCAAGTTATCTAAGAAAATATTCAAGAAAAATACTTAGCCTAGGAAAAAGATGGGTTGATTGTGATGGTAGAAAGATGTTCACGCACAACTAATCTTTCATTTACAGCCCAAATCAATAATTAGTATTAACACTACTATTAAATCATCTAAATAGGCCTTGCCTTTATGAAAATTCATCCCATAAAAACAGCAATGAACTAAACCAACCAAAATTATTGAGCTAGGGCTGCAGCTCCAGTGTGGGACAGAGCTTTGAGTGTATGCATTTCTTTCTCTACAAGTGTACTTTCTTTGATGAAGATCGCTGTTGATAAAGGGGTTTTTAGGAGTAGGCCATTCCAACTACATTGTTGCCTTCACCTTAGTACTCAAGTTTCGTGTAAAGACAAGAAAAACGTCTTGTGTTTGTGAGTTTTCTTTCATATGGACTGCTCACCCCAAACTTTATCTACTGGGACGTGAGCCTCCCTCAACATTTAAAGAGAATTCCATACTGAGCAATTTCACCCATCATAACATTAATAGTTTCAATACTCTTTCTGAGGTTTCTGTGTCGGAAATCAACATCCTCACGTTTTTCCTAACCCCTGTGTAAATTTTCTGTGAATTCGCAATCTCACACGAAAGAACAGTGACACCACTGATGAGAAACCATTTCTTTGCTAGATTCGTCAATGTTCAGATTGATTTGACTGATACACAGTGGCATGTATTCCTTTCATAAATGCTTAGTAGTGGCATTATTTAATACAGAGGAGTTTATATGTATTTTTTTTAATTCACTGCTTGGTTTTAATAAAATAGATAAGATGTAAGATTAGTCAAGTCTCTGGTTAATTGTCATTTACCTGTCAGGACAGGCTGACATGTGAGGGCTGCCTGAACACGCCCTGTATTTACACCTTGGATCAAGCACTCATGGCACTAAATGGAGCGCAAGCAAGTCTTAAAGAAAATCAGCATTACTGGTCTGAGGTGTATTTCATGGCTGGGGACATTCTCTCTAAGAGCTAAATGATATATAGCAATTGAATGTATAAAAAAATAACAAAAAGAATTAAAAAACAAAAGAAAATCAGGATTTACTTGCCAGCTGTAAAACAGGAAAGATACAGTAAGTGCCATGTGATTGCATAGATTATGCAATCAGAAACTATAAACAGGGGGCCAGTAGGTGGCGAGGCAAGTAAGGCGCTACAATCTCTCATGGCTGACTGAGGTTCGAGTCCTAGACCTGGCATCTTGAAACGCGTGCATGTGTGTGTGTCCAAAATCCCGAAAAGAGAATGGAGAAGGGACTGCAGAGTGGCCATCCCCCCAGGGTGTGATTTTTTTACTTTCCCTCTCATTCTCTTGCTGAGTACATACGCTCTATAGCAAAATCCTTCAAAACAAACAAAACAAAAAGCTATAAACAGCACAGGACCTTCACGGGCACAGACCAGCACTACAAAGTGCACAAGGAATATACACAAGCCCACACACACCATGGAAAGAAAAGAAAAGTGAAACTCACATCACACTGGAAAGGCTTTTCTCCCGTGTGCGTCCTCCTGTGCTCGTCCAGGCCTCGCTTCTGGCTGAAGGCCTTGCTGCACTCCGAACACTTGTACGGCTTCTCCTGCACCAACGAAAAGAGACCGTGGAGGGTGAGCAAGCGAGTGAACACAGAGGTCGCCTTGTTAAGCTGGAGGAGGGAGGATTTTACTAGGTCTCCAGGGTGCTGTAGCAAATTCAGAGGGGCACCGTGAGCTCCTTAAATTTGCAGGGAAAACACAGTAATTGCAATAACTGGACTAACACTAGCTCAGTGTTGTTCATGGTTGTGATGCTGGGTTGCACGTCATTTCTTCCAATGACATCATACCTTTACAAAGCTGGACTTTGGGTAGTAGTTAACCTGCTTAACTTAGGTTCTTTTTATTTTTTTAAAGAATTATTTTATTTAACTTTATTTATTTTAATTTTATCAGACAGGGTGTGTGAGAGAGAGAGAGAGAGAAAGTGAGAAAGTAAACCACCAGGTCCGGGACTCGACCCACGGTCTGTCATGTGGGAGTCCAGTCCCTTAACCAACATGCCACCTGCTGCTCCGTTTCTTAGGTTATTTCTTATGGCCTAGTGGTGCCATGAAAGTTTACTAAGATACTAAAGGCATCAAGACCCACGAAAGTTTGGGAACCTCTGATCTAGGTGGCATAAATACGATAATAAATAAAAATAAATTAATTTAAAAAAAGAAATAGGGGTTTTATATATATGTGTATATATATATATAAAAACTAGAAATGAAAAGTTATTGATGATAAAATGTATGATTAAGCCACTATGCAGTATGTTCTGGATAGGAAACCAACTTTTGTATGCTGTGATGATGCTCAGGGAATGAATGTAAATTAATTAATTTTAAAAATGTCTCAGAAGAAAATTACAGTGCACTTGTAACTAGATTCTAGTTTTGTCCATAATTTAAGTTTAAGGTACTTTGTGAATCAATAAAATGTGGAATAAAAGTTTAGTATGGAAGGGAGAGAGAGGAAAGGAGAAGGAAAAAAATAAGTAAAAATGTGTTTAATTGACAAAAAATGAGAAGCTATTTGCTGATAAGTTATAGAGTAATATCTTTGACTTGACTGACATGCATAGTATTTGTGCTGGAAAAAGAAAGGTACACTGTAAAGATGTGATTAAATGTAAACAATAAATTTTTAAAATTAAAAAAACAAATCCTGAACCAACTTTTCAACATATTCTGGGGGTAAGTTTTCAAAAGCTAGAACTCAGTTGCAATTTCTGTATTTTCAGTCCTATTGCCAAGTTATTTTTCCTGATGGATGTACTTTGATAAAATCCAAATTATTTTTTTAATGAGGTATTTTTAGATTGTGGGTCACAGACTCTTAATGAAAAGAAGTGTCAAAAAGTGAAGAAAAAAACATTCCAATTTCTTTGCTATCTTATACTGGGAACCTAATCATATGGTGAAATAATTCACATTGCTCTATTCAAAGAGCTGGCAAGTTATAAGTGCGTCAGTAAAAAGGTTTGTTTCAATTTAACTAAACTTGCAAAAACATTAGTTTTTCAGGACAGGTGGTGGTGCAACAGTAATGGAATTGGAGCCACATGGGAAAGGTCCTAGGGTCACACACCTGGCACCCCCCTGAGCACACCAAGCACGCTCGAGCAGACTTGTGAATCAGGGCAGCTGAGACCAGAGGTGGATCGAGGTGTGAAGACCAATAAAGAACCCTAATTATTTTATGCCATCAGCATGGCTTCGGTTACACACATCTAACGATTTCTTTCATCTTCATGCTTCTTCTATATCTGACCTTCTAAGGATCTGCTGAGGGTCAGCTCTATTTTTATCTGACTGAAAAATCACTTGTTTCT